CCTCGGGATTCTTTTTTGTTGAACCTTCTGAGATATTATAATTTTTCGGCTGAGTTCAGCTTTGAGGGGGGCATCGTGGTGCTCAGCTAAACCTGTACAGGACACCCTGTGAAGACCTGTGAATTCCTGTGACCGAAAGGCCTCACTTGATCAATTTCGCAGCTTCGCAGGAGTTCACAGGTCTGACCACGTGAAACATTTTAGTTTACATGAAACAAGAAATTGTGCCTGCAAAAGTGCCAAATGCTCCCTCCTAACCAAATGGCAGCAGTTTTCTTTTGGTTTTCAGAAGGCTGGTAGCTTCAGTGGTGTACCGGCGTACTATCGAGGTGGCAACGGCTCTACGGAGGCTTACGATCGGTTACACAACAATAATGGACATGCACATTCACTGGCATCTTGTAAGTAGATTTATTTTCTACGTATGTACCATTGAAAACTTGGCGTTAGAGGGGACTGCCCACGGAGTTAATGACAAGTTCGGCGCCGAATTGAGGTGCTTTTGCATTGTTGACGGTTATAGCAGAGAAGAGTAAGAGGTCCATCAATGTCGCTCAATGACATAGTCCACGTTGGTCATGTGGGCGGAGGCCGTCAGCAATTACTCTTTTCTGAATGCCCTTCTTAGGCGATGAAGAGAAGAGGCACAATAAGGAATAGGAGTGCAGAATAATTGATTTTCTCTTCCCATGGATTTGACCTGCCTTTGGCAATTGCATGACGTCTTCAAGTGGAAGTGTAGCGCAGTCTTCTTCGTTGCGGATGATGCGGCATGTCAGCGGGGATAGGTCTAGCGCCGCGTCAGCCCTTTTCCTTTCGTTTTTTTCGGCGGGCGACAGGACCGTGTCGTTGTCATTAGTTTCCCACCCGTTGTTGTCTCATACCCGCTTCAACAGCCGGTGAAGGATGGGTTGATGGCGCGCCAAACCTACACGCCCCATCATCCGCAGCGAACGAGACTGTATGCTATGGAGTCTAGAGAAAATTTAGACAAAAACCACCGATTTATTTCGAAGTGCTGCGACCAGTTATTTCTTCTTCATCGTAATGATTGAGGGTCTTATCGTATTTCTTTCAGCAACCCATCTGTCTCCACGGGACCCGATTGATGAAACAGGAGAACGCTTGAACAACCTGAGCTTTTCGGATCGTGCCAGTCAGATGAGTTATCGCTCGACAAGTTCGAATCAGCCGCCGTCGGCGCCACCTCCAGGAATGTATGTTGGTTACCAACCAATTGTACAGTACCAAATGGGTGATGACGTTGCGTAAGTTGTTGTTTTCATTATTTTCATTTTCATGCTAATCAACTTTCGCAGTTTGTCCAGTTTCTCTCACTCCTTTTCGGAATTACTTAAAGACACATCCCGCTGTAGACGGATGGGCGAGGAAGTGGTGGAGACTTACAACAGTCACGCTTTCCTCATCAGCACGTTCCTTCCCTCCATTATAAATAATAATAAAATTTTAACAAGATTTTATATAGTATTTTGATTGCTACAATCCTTAATACACTTTTCTTATCCAAGTTTTAGAGGGGGTGACTCAAAGAAGTAGCTTAGTTTCCGTTTCGCACGTGCCCTTAGACGGAAACCAAGCAGTTTGTAATATCCTCCTTCTGTGCTCATCAGTAAGGGAAAGGAGGAATAAGGTGTTTATCGTGATAATTTACTATTATATAAACTTAGTAAAAGTTAGTAAATGTTGGAAGGATTATGTTAGATTATGTTAGAAGGAATAGCGCCCTAATGAGGAAGGTACAATGGTTATAAATCTCCGCAATCCCCTTGGCTATCGTGGAATGTGTCTTGAACCGAATTCTGTGACTTAAAGGAGTTCGCTAGATAGCTCCATGGATTATGCTAGTCGCGGCGCTGTTCGGCTTGAGAGGGGCATTTTGCGTTTTCGCTAGTTTCCCTTACCAGTACATGTTGATTAGTAGGTTAACACCTGTAAACTTTTCGAAACCTGTGAAGGTGGTACAGATGAACCACCTTGGTTACAGGAGTTCGCAGTTCTTTACAAGATGGCTTGTTCAAGCGTCGCTGAATACCATTCGGTACTCCCACCATGCCGAACTGCGCCGTAGTGGCTTTTGCCCGTAGGCATATCACTCCCCTTAA